GTCTGAGAATGGTACAGATAAATTGTTTTAATCACAACCAGACATCTCATCCATCTAGCGGAGAGAATACGAGTAGCTGTTCTACATGTCGGAAACAAGCAGTTAACATCAGCCTTTTGGTTTAGTACAACAGTAAAATCCTGATTTCTCAAGCCCTTGATTTCTTGAATCTTCTGTTACCTTGTACTAAAAGTTGTTTCCCTACAATTGTTGCATTATGATTTCACCCCAGATATCTCAAATTCCAATTTCTTGAATCAATTTTCACTTTTCTTGCTGCTAGAGGTTTAGTGACAGATTTTGTTAGTCCCATGCAAGTGTGAGCCCTAACCATGGTTGATTTTTTCTTTTTTGTTCTTGAAAATACACTACTCTCGTGCAGTAGCTCTCTTCAACCAGGTGTAAATGGGTACCAAATTATAATTAAATGCTGAGAGGCAACTGTTCCTTGGGCTGGTATCACATCCAGAAGTGAGAAGAAATACTCCCAGTTTCTCCATGTTAAGGAAACCAGAGATATGCATGGCCACTAAGCTTGAAAACAGATCGGCTTTACCTGTCTCAAAAGACAGCAATGTGTGCATTTGATTGCACATTAAAAGTGTACAGGATATGTCCATTGTATGCTCATGCTTTCAGTTACACAAGCCTCGCGCTGAAACTTAATATTTATTTTCCTTCCAACTTTAGAGTCTTGATGAAGATTACAATATACTCAACAAATTAAAGAAATCAAGCAAGGCTGTCCATGCTGCAGGATTAAGTATGACTTCATTTTCTCACTATTATACTTACTTTTATGTAGTAGACATTCCTCAAGGTCTATAAATTCAAATCCTTGAAGCTTATTGGTTCTCTCTCAAGGTTAATATTATTTGCTGAATGGGCTTATTTTCCAATAATTGCATGAATGGAGTGCACATGCATTTCTAGTTATTATTTTGTCTTTAGTTGACTATTAATTTATTTATTCATTGCCAATAATTGAAGATTGATAATTTTTGTGTAANTTCTAGTTATTATTTTGTCTTTAGTTGACTATTAATTTATTTATTCATTGCCAATAATTGAAGATTGATACTTTTTGTGTAAAAGGTTACATGTATTTGTTGTTGTTGCACACATACAATGTATTTTGGCCTAAATGGTTCCAATTTTTCACAACAAAGCTTAAAATTAATATTTAATTTACTATTTTTGTTGTGTGATTCTCAGATTATTCAACAAATCAGTTGTCTTTAGCAGAAAGTCTTGAAAAGCTGGGTACATCTTCCCTGTCAAAGGAAGCAGACACTGGGATTGGTAAGCCATAACTTAATGTACATGCTATGTGCTGTACAAATGTATGTATGGCATTAAATTCTATTGGTACGAATAACGATAGGTGTGACCAAGGTTTTCTTGATCTTAATATGAATTATCATTTTGATGATAATAACATATTATATTATATGTTCATTTACATTAAACATGTTTTAATTCAAACTTTGATCACTCTCTCCAGGTACTGCATTCCTAAAATTTTCTGTTACAGCTAAGGTTGGTAGTAATTGATGCTAATATTTTTATTCATTGGTTTGTATAATTTTGGGTCCAGTTCAGTGCTGGAAACACATGTAATGCCAGTCAATCATCACACATTATCCTGGAACCAAATTTCTGGAATTGTCTGACTAATTTTCCATTTTGATCAGATATCATGGCCAGGCACCAATAAATTGAGAGGTATCTGCATACATGTGCAGCTAATTGTTGTGATGATTATTTCATCATTCTCAAGTAGCAGTACAGTAAACTTCTAGGAGTATTTTACTAGTGATATCTTCCAGCAGTAGGTCCCCAGTAAGAGCAATACTGGCCAGTGATAGCTACTCTTGATAACTGACAACTGACACCTTTCTCCTGATAATACCACTTTAATTATTCCCCAGTCTGTAATAAACATTTACATGTAGGGAAAATCCCTAGAGATAACTACAGGTGTAATAGTAAGCTCCCTGTGATAAATCCCCCCTAGGGATAATTCCTGGTAATAAAATTCCCACAATAAGATTTTAAGGATAAACCCCAAGTGATAAGATCTCAAGCCACGTCTAAGCTCACAGTGTGACAACCTATTAAGATAGACCCCCTGCTTTCAATCAAGCCTCACAGTTATATGAATCTCACAGTATTAAAGAAGGTTGCTATATTTAGGGATAATTTGCATACATCTCCATAGGCAATGAACAGGTACATGTAATACACACTGTTTGCATGGAGGACTGTTCAAACTGTGAACTAGTTTGTCATTCTACTTTTCTACTCCACAGGAGCTCTGTTCAGCAATGAAAACATTGGTAAGAAATGTTTTTGCTATGTTTACTATTAATAATTTAAGTCTAAATTTAGGCAAGGAAAGAGACAAGCTAAGGTCGCAATGTTCCTTTTGCCTCTGTTTCAAAACAAGTCGTCATGCAAAGATACAGGCAAAACACGTTTTCATACTCTGAATGTTTCACATGAAGACTCACTCATTTTATTGCCGAGATAATGAGCGATACAGGAATAACCTTAACAGCTGTATCGCATTTATGAATAATTAGTTTACATAGATATAGTTCGTGATGTAACATGAGTCTCCTCCACAGCCAACTCCACCACTTTTCCATGCTTTGATGTATGAAACTGTGGCTTGGAAAATGGTGTTTTCAAGCCCCTAATAAGGACATGTCCTAGGGCATACCCCGAAACCTCCCTAGCGGCTCGAGCCTTCAATGGTACTCCATTAACCATCTCGTGGTGATGAAAAATGCACACTATGCCCCTGGCTGTCATGACATTGATTGGTCAAAATACTGAGGGAAGACTGGGAGTGAATGGGAGATTAATGACAGAGAAAGGACTTCTTCATTGACCTCCCTTTTGCCTTTGGTTTCCCTCAGCAAAGTAATGTCTATTGTGCAGTCTAGCTGTAGGTTCAGTTGTCTGTTGCAGCAGAGGTGCCTGTAGTGGAGGCTAAAGATGTACATGTAACTTACTTATATTTATTAATTTTAAGTAATGGTAATATTTTTATTAACCACTATTTTTCATTATGAAAATGTATAGTTTACCAACTACCACAACATGGTTCTGTTTCCTCTTGACTCTCTATTGAAAGGAGATATGAAAGACGTGAAAGGAGTAAGTACAATTTAAGTTCTACCATCCTGAGATACAGTTGTAAGCTTGAAACTTGTCATGAATGAATGAAAATTTGAATTAGAATCCAGCATTTACAGTNGCTGGTTTTTACTTTGAGATTGAATAAACTTTTGATTTTCCTTGTTTGCCACAAGATGATAAACATAAATCACCCATCCGTGAGAGTATTATTTGTAATTCTACATTAATTTATTTATTGACTGCAAAATGAAGGACATAGCTTGAGTCCTTTTACCACTCACCATCTGTAGTTATAGTATGTAGTTCTTACTGGACGCCAATTTTTTTTCTCTTTCAAGTTGTTAATGAAAGTTAATGAAATAAAAGTCAAGAAGGGAGTCGAACTGGCTCAGCATCTGGTGGAGTTCTATTATGCTCAAGTCACGTAAGTAACTGATCTGTAGGGGCAGGGGTGCTTCTTTGAAACAGGAAATAGCGAACTGACTAAATGGCACTACAGTTGGCTTAAATAGCAGGGACAGTGGGGCTGCAGGGGCCCCCCAACTTCAAGCAAAAAATACATAAAATAATTATAATTTTACTAATATCTCCAGACCTCCTACAAGTTAGTGCCTTTGGCGCTTGCTTGTAAGCACCCCCTCCCCCGCCCCCCCCAATTCAAAATATGTTCTGCCTTCTCTGAATAGCCCTCAGTTTAGCCTAAATATCACTGACTCAACAGTGGTCAGCTCTCAATAACTGTAAGGGTTGACCCTTACAGACACCCGTATCCNTGACGATCAAAAGCCCACAGCTTCAAGTAAAATGTGAGTTGGTCATGTTCATGTCTGTTGTTGGAAGTGTTCACACATTTAGCTCTCGTTCACATTTCCTATTAATCTCTGAAGCAGGCAAATTATGAGCAAATTTATTTTTTTTTAAGGGATGAAAGAAAGGAATTTATACGAGCGAAGTACATTCAGCATAAATACGCAATCAAATCGGGCGACAATACAGAGAAAATACTCCAGGTAAGTGTGTTATTATATCTTTCGGAATTCCAAGGTTGGATAAGCACACGCTTCAGACCTCGCGTCGTACATCAGCATGTGAGTTGAAGAAGCCTGCGTAGCAAGCGTTCCCTTATGAATGAAGAGCTTTTTTCACCTTCTGGCAGCGCGCAAATTGGAGCGAACACAAAAATTAATCGATGAAGCAGGGGCGGGACGAGCAAGAAAACGCTTGCCAGCAAACCCCTCGCTCGTCCCACCACCCCCGACTCTGTCGATTTTTCCTCGCGCCCCAATGTTCGCGCGACCAGACTTTGCTTGTTCATCCTCTCCTACACCGAGCGCTTGCAACACAGGCTAGAGTTGAAGCCGCTGTACGACGGTTTTCCTTTTGGTCCGTCAATTTTCTTCCCTTGTCAAAAACCTACCTTCTAGATATTGAGTGATTAAGTTGATTTTTCACTTGTCGTTGTCCTCCACAGGAGCTCCACCAAGCTGTCAAATCAAGGGATATTTTAGCTGTTTTACAAGCGTTTGCCGAGGGAGTGGAGCTATCAACACCACTTCCTGGTCATGTAAGTGTCTAATCTACTCCTTAGTGGACATAGGTCACGTGTAGTTGTCGCCTGGGTACAGAATCGTGGTTGCTTGGGTTATAGGGCGAAGAAAAGAAACTAGGGCGAGAGGAGCGTGACGAGAGCGCCTTGCATATAGCCTCCTACGTAGACATTCTTTGGGCTGGTCACGCAATGGAAGATTGCGTGACGAGCCGAAGGAGGCTTGCTTGCATACGGCTAGTGCGCCTGAAATTTGAATTGACCAATCTGTGTATTAACAGAAAAGGCATTTAAGTCGGGCAACTTTTCTCATTGGAGACGGCATTGAATATTTACCAAAAGGGATTTATAATTNGGCATATATCTTCTTTTAAAAAGTGACTCGTTAATTCATATCTTGAAGCATAACTTATGATTGTACTGCGGAAAGAGTGAAAAATGAAATGAAGAAATGATTCTCCGTTGCGAACAAGCTTGAAACAAATTCAGGACCTCAACGAGATCTAAACCCATGAACTCTGCCTTACAACCACACACATTTGGAGCAGTCCATAATCTCAGTTCGTTTATATGTTTCCGTATGAGGTATAGAAGGAAAAGTATTGAGTCTTGTCATAAATATGCCTTATGTATTGTCACAACTGTTTATAAGGTAGGTATTAAGTCTACAAAAGATATAAGAATCGTGTTTTTGCGAAGAATGAACAACAACACTTTCTGCAAAGATGGTTTCCCTCCAGTTGATAGTCTGTGAACCCAACAGTTCTTCATGAATTGTCTATTTTTCAGGTTGATGGAATCTACGATAATCCGTTAGAACTACTGGACATAAAACCCGAGTTTAGTGATGATGAAGGACTGAATGACTCGAAAGCGGAGGCAAAGGTAAAATTAAACGAAACACACAGGAGATGGAAATTCTGTTAAAATCAAGCGGGCAACTTTCGGGGCTAGTGAAACGGTTGTTGGTATTAATTAGTCTACCTGAAATTCGAAGTTCCGCTCTGACCACTAAGCTGGAGTTGTTTCTCGGTAAACCTTAGTTCAGCTCCTCGGTCATGCTTGTAAATCGCCAACTGGTCTGCCTCCCACCAGTTGCTATTTTAAAGCTATAAACAACATTTGAACATACAAAGCATTGAAAAAATTTAGGGATCTTGGTGACTGAAGGCGCCTCGAACGGACTGGGTCTACAGACTACCCTACAGACCAGTCCACAGACTACCCCTATGTACCCCCTCTATGCATGGACCACTCCCAAAATACAATGAAAATAATAAAGAAAGATTTTACTTACTGGTTGTCTGTGTCAGTGTTTTCGGGTTGTAACTCAGCATAGTGACATCAGTGAGAAATTTTGGGTTGTTTTCTTGCTCAACTGAACATTGGTTTTATTTCAGTACTAATTGAATTTAATTAGATTTAACTGTGTTTTGTGCCTACTGTAAGTCTTATAATCATCTAAACTCTTGTCATTATTTTAACTCTGCCCAATAGAGCAATTTCAATATATTAAAATTCAGCCTCACTCAGTAAAGGGAGGCTCTGGGGAATAAACCCCCCAAACTCTGTAGTTATTCCCCAGAGTCTTGCACTGAGGTCTTTTGTGATAGGCAGAATTTTAATATATCAAAATTGCTCTACTGTGAAACTTTAAATTGTACAACCTTTCTTCCAGACTGAGAAAAGTTTGGCAAAAGAGATACTGTGTAGCTAAGGATGGTCACTTTACGTTAGCTCACTCACCGGTAAGACAGTCGCTTCACAAATAAATATCTTATTAATAGTAAGACCATTTTACTGTTGTCTGCTTGGTGACCTGGCCTTTGAATGGCAGCGAGGCTGGAGGTGACCTTGCTTTGATAAAGACCCATCTGCTTTTGTCACGTAAATGCACCTACATGTACATGTACATGTAGTTAGAATGAGAAGAACTTGATTTACACAGCAAATGCAGTGAGGTCTTTATCAAAACAAGGTTACCTCCAGCCTCACTGCCATTCAAAGGCCAGATCACTGAGCAGAGAACTGTAAAAATGGTCTATTCTGCATTAAATGTCAGTTCTATTTAACAATTAGATTATGAGCTGGAGATTTTTATGAGGCCATAGCTGATTCGGCCTACAGCCTCATCAACTATCACAACTATCAATCTAATTGTTTTAGTAGAATTCTAACTCAATTATTGCAAATAATGGTTTCCAAATAGTTTTCGACGCATTATTGAACTTTACGCTTTAACAAAATTGCACATATTGAATCGTCCTTGGTAAATTTGCAGTTGTTTACACGTGTGCACCGGTTTTTCAATCATTTCAAGTTTTTAAAGTCAAGAATCTGTTTATCTCCTTCTTTTGGTCTTCTCACGAATTTAATTATCCATTTACATCCAAACTTTCTCCCAAAACTTCGAAAAAACGACAAAAACGTCGCATGTCGTGGATGACTGACAGCTACTGCATTCTAATGGCTGATAGTATATGAGTAGCTCAGCCAATAGGTTGCAGCATTTGCATTAGTACATGTATACTAGTAGAATTCTACTAAGTGCTATATGATGGTACGTAAAGTCTGTAACCCTAGTTGATTGGTTTTTCTGCATGTTCATTAACCATCTGCTTAATGTTGATTACCATTGAGGTTTGAAATTTGATTTTTGATTTGACATATATGTAGAACTCCACTGTTTTAAAGCTGTGATAAAAAGCAGCATTTTTGCAGACCTAGTGCTTTGGCAAGGTTATTCAACTTCTAGGCAAAGGCAAAAAATTAAAATGATTTTTCATTTTTGCCTTTACTTATTAGTCACTAACCTTGCCAAAGCACTAGGTCTGCACTGCAAGAAAGTTGCATTTTTATATACAGTGTCGATCGTAAAAATGTGACCACTCTATAGTGATCAGTCTACAGTTTAAGTTTTTGGGCAGTTTGCTTTTGAATTTTGTCATTTTGCTTTGCTTTTCGTAACCTTGTGCATTTACTCTTTTTTTTCTTCAGACCAGTAGACCAACCCAAACACTTAACCTTCTTGTTTGCCAAGTAAAAGTAAGTATACAAAAACCCACATGGAATTATAGACTGGTGTGGTGGTGCAATGGCTACATACATTTATATGGGTTATTGACCAAGCTTGTTCGGTCAAGATGGCTGGATATTGGCCAAGTTCTTTTTTTGCGTGTTTATGGACCGAGACGCAGTCGAGGTCCA